GACTGTCCCCTTAGCTCTTGCTGCTTCTAGGATTCTCTCCTTCATTTTAATCTTGGCTAATGTAATGATGATGTGCCTTAGTGTGTTTCTTCTTGGGTCCAACTTCTTTGAGACTCTCTGAGCTTCCTGGATTTCCTGGAAGTCTATTTCCTTTGCTAGATTGGGGAAATTCTCCTTTATTATTTGTTCAAATAAGTTTTCCACTGGTGGCTGTTCCTTTCCCCCTTCTGGTACCCCTATAATTCGGATGTTGGAACGTTTAAAGATGTCCTGGAGGTTCCTAAGCCTCTCCTCATTTTTTTGAATTCTTGCTTCTTCACTCTTTTCTGTTTGGCCATTATTTGCTTTCTTCTGGTCCACTCCATTGATTTGAGTCCCAGTTTCCTTTTCATCGCTATTGACTTCCTGTGTAATTCCATTCATTTCAATTAGTTTCACCTTCATATGTTTGTCTAATTTGTGGCTATAATCAACCAGTTCTGTGAGGATCCTGATCACCAGTGTTTTAAACTGTGCGTCTGAGAGTTTTGCTATTTCTTCATTGCTTAGATTTATAGGCTCTGGGGCTTTGACATCTTCTTGAGCCATTTTTGTTCTGTTCGCGCCCGTTAAGTATGAGGAGGGGAGCCTTGGACTCCCAGGTTGCTGGGTTGTGACGCTGTATGTGGGGGCGTGGTCAGAGCGGGGAAATGGCGGCCCCCTCTGCTGTTTCTAGCTGCTGGGTGAGGAGCAGAGCCTCAGGTGGCTCACCAGGGAAGGGCCACTTACGTGGCTGGGTTATGACACTGTATGTAGAGGCAGGGTCAGAGCGGGGAGATGGTGGCGCCCTCTGCTGCCGCTCGCCACTGGGGCCTGCTGGGTCTCGTCCAATCGCCCACTCCCTCGCTTGTCTATCCACGCACGGATGCGAGACCACAGTCAACCTGCAGCCCTGCTCTCTTGCTGCTTCCCCGCGGTCGCTCACTGAGTTGCCCACCAGTTCCAACCCTGCGCCTGGATTCCGCGTGCCTGAGTCCATCTGATGGAGTTTTCCTGTGCAACCCCACTCCTCCAGCTGCTGGTTTCGCCCCTCTTACCAGTCAGGCTGAAGAATTTGTTGTTATCAGACTTCCGAAAAGTTCAATTTTCTGTGTTCTGGCTGTGTTTTCTATTGCTAATATTTAGTTGTCTCTAAAGTTCATTGTGTGAGGAAGCACGGCGTCTCCACCTATGCCTCAATCTTGGCGGAAGTCTGAATTCTTATTTCTTCATTCTGTTCCAGTTGGATGTTTATTTCTTCCTTTTTTTCCAAATCAGTATTTGAGTCCCAGTTTCCTTCCCTTCACTGTTGGTTCCCTGTATACTTTGCTTTATTTCACTTTGGGTAGCCCTCATTTCTTCCTTCATTTTGTGACTAAGCTCAATCATTTCTGTGAGCATCCTGATTACCAGTGTTTTGAACTCTTCATCAGATAGGTTGTCTGTCTCATCAGAATTTTTTATCTTTTATTTGGACCACATTTCTTTGTCTCAGCGAGCCTGTTATATTGTAAAGGGGCATAGCCTTAGGTATTCACCAGGGTGGGGCTACCCTTTTTGCTGCATTGTGGCATTGTCTGTGGGGGAGGGGTCAGAGAGGGAGCAATGCTGCTTACTTGCTCAGCTCCATCCCTACTTTCCAACAAACTCTCCTGTTAGACTGGGAGTTTCCCCAACTGTTGCAACCCCCACAGAATTTTACAGCTAGCTTTGAATTGTTAATTTCCCATTCAGCCAGCCCAGCCATGCCCGCACGATCCACCACCTTGCCACGAGCATCCTCTCGGTTTAGCTGCCCGTCTCCACCTTTCCTACTGGTCAGGGTGAATATTTTTTTTAATAAATGTGGTTTTTTTATTTTATAGATTTTATTTATGTATTTTTAGACAGAGGGGAAGGAAGGGAGAAAGAGAGGGAGAGAAACATCAACATGTGGTTGCCTCCTGTGCAGCTGCACCAGGGAACCTGGCCCGCAACCGAGGCATGTGCCCTAACTGGGAATCAAACCATCGACCCTTTGGGTAGCAGGCCAGTGCTCAATCCACTGAACCACATCAATCAGGGCTATGTGAATGTTTAACTCTTTGGTTATCAGAGTTCTATGCAGTTTGATTTTTCTGGCACTTCTGGTTATTTATTGTTTGAAAATTGGTTGTTGTCCTTCTTTTTGTTGTGCAAGGAAGCAAAGCGTTTCTACCTACGCCTCCATCTTGGCCAGAACTCCTAGAATTTTCATATGTTGTTAGGATCAAAGACCTAAGTAGAAGAGCAAAACTACAAACTCTTAAAAAACATAGTTGTAAATTATTGTGGCCTTTAATTAGGCAATGATTTTTAAATATCATACCAAAACCATAGCAGCCAAAGAAACTACTTCAAAAGACACAACCAATAAAGTAGAAGGAGAACCCACAGAATGAAGAAAGTGCTTGTAAATCATGTACCTGATAAGTCTCTAGTATTCAGAAAATATAAACTCTTACAACTATAACCAACAAAACAAAACACATGGGCTTAAATAAACCCAGGGATATGAATAGATATATTTCTCCAAAGACACAGAAATGACCAATGAGCACATTGAACAAATGTTTAGCTTAGTCATTAGATAAATGCAAATGAAATCTATGAGTTATCACTTCACACCCACTATGATGGCCATAATAAAAAAGATGGACAACAAGAAGTGTGGTTAGAATTTGGAGAAATTAGAACCCTCATACTTTGCTGGTAGGAATGTAGAATCTGCAGCACTGTGAAAATTAGTTCCTAAAAATGTCAAACATGGCTTTACCATGTGACACAGCAATTCCACTGCTAGATATTTATAGGGGACCATTCAGCATGGCAGTGGGGAATTGTAGTCCAGCCCCTGATTCAGAAAACTGATGAGGAGCAAGGTCAGCACACAGGGCCCATGCCCACAGATAGGTTCTCTCCTGTGGAATCAGGCCTGCATTGTACCTAGGCTGCTTTGAGGTTTGCTTTTAGTAAAACTCCCTCACCCTGAATTGAGGCAGAAAATGTTTATTGCATATCTTTAAAGTAACTTCCTAAAATCTATGCTAAACCTCCCAAGGACCAATGTAACGAGTTCAACCACTTTTCCCTTTGCATTTGCAAATATCCTCCTCCTTTGACGTAATTAGCAACATCCTTTCCTTTGTTTTCTGTAAAAGGTAACCACCTAAAGTGAACCTGTGCATAGTAAATGAGGACCCTCCTAGGCATAATATGCCCAGAAAAGCAATAAAAGCCTGTCCAGGCAAGGGTGGGACCCTCTCTCTCACTTAGAGAGTGGCCATGCCATCCCTTTTTCTCCACAGGACTTCTGTAGTCTGTGTGAATTTGTTCATCACAGCCACAACACCCGGACCCCATGGGCTGGAGTGCACATCAGATATATATCTAGGATAAATTAACATAAGTTCATACAAAAACTTGTACACAAATTTTCAGAGCAGCATTATCATAATAGCCAAAAAGTAGATAGAAACAACCCAAATGTCAATCATCTGATGTGTGGGTCAATGAAATTTGGGATATCTAAACATTGGAATATTATTCAGCCTAAATGAAAGAAAGCAACACATTACATTTAATTTTTATGAAATGTCCAGAATAGGCAATTCTATAAACACAGAGGACAAATTAGTGCTTTCCAGGGTCTGGAGGGAGGAGGTAATGGGAAGTGCCAACTAAGAGAATGGGTTTACTTTGGGGCTGATAAAAATGTTCTGGTATTAGATAGTGGGAATGATTACAAAAAATCATGAATATTACTAAAGCCCACTGAACTGTACACGTTAAAAAGGTAAATTTTGTAGTATGTGAAATATGCCTCAGAAAAGATGTTGGCTGCAACCCCAAATCCTAGTCTTCTTTCCTGGAAGCAAATAATGTTATTTGTTTCTTGGGTCTCATTCCTAAAATAGACTGTATAAATATAAACATGTATTCATGTATCTATAGGTCTCTCATTAACAGAAACATGAGCATAGCAAATACATTGTCCTAGACTTTTCCCCCCTACAATGACACTTCAAGAACATTCTTTATAATATAACTTGGTGATTATTCTATTTCAGTATATATAAGTATCCCTGGTTCCTTTTGGGCTTTGGATTTGCCGTAATTTAGTTTGCTAGTACTCTGCTGCTATGAATAATGTTGCAATTAATTTTACTTATATATTTCTATTACATGTGTACAAGTAGGATATGTTTCTAGAAGGTAAATTTCTGGTTGAAAATATTTTCTGTATTTTATTTTGATAAACTGTCATTATTGGTTTACTGTCCTCATTAGATTATGAGTTCCCTGAGGACATGGGCCATTTCTCTTTTGTTGATCAGGGTAATCTAGATTACAGAACACTGTCTGACATACTGATTTATATATTTGTTGATGGTTAAGTCCATGGCTTTGATGTACAGCATGTCAAATGGAAATTTGAAGCTACACCATTCAAAAAACAGACAATCATCCAGTTTATAGAGATAGGAATTGTTTGTGAGTTGTTTTCTTTTCATCCAATTGGGTTTTTGTTTTTCTTTTTCATTTTTTTCCTTTCAACTCTAATTAGTATGTTTTTAAAAACTGTGATATCAATTGCAATGTATCATTCTAAGAAATACAGAATCCTTAATTTCATTTGAAGACATCAGCATGTTTTATTAAACAAATGCCTGCTTCTTATATTTGAATGTTCTTTATTTCAGTTATTGAAAACAAAAAAGGTCGGGGAAAAATAGGGGCTGAATTGCACTTTTAGGAGACCTCATAGTGACACCTGCTGGAGAAAATATCAGAGTAAGTTTTGAATCCATTAAATTATAAAAATTTTAGATGAGTGTTTCTATTAATCAGGAAGAAATTTTAAATTTTACCATACAATGCTTGTAATAATTAACTATAATTAAGTTTATAGGAGGTTCTTTGATGTTCTAAGAATTATCAATAAATATATTTCCTTTTTTCAGGATAAAGTCATCTTGGGGACTGATTACCCCTTTCCACTAGGTGAGCTGGAACCTGGAAAACTGATAGAATCCATGGAAGAATTTGATGCGGAAACAAAGGTATATGCCTTTTATGTCAAGGATTTCTTTCTGTTTTCCTGCTGTAAAAGTGCTTGGTTTCAGAGGACTTTCATGTGTGATAACAAAGAACAGGGATTCATTACACTTAATATTCCTAGAATTGTTACTAGATCACCAGACATAGCTGAACTATTAAAGGACAAAAAAAAGTTAAAAAGTTGAAAGACAGCCTAGTACATTCATGAAGGTCAGGAAGAAAACTGCAAAGAAGCATATCATAATAATATGTTTCTGTTCGCATGTTAGATGAATAATTTTTAAAAAGTCTATATTTTTTCACTTAATATGTCTGTTACAAATCTGCCAATCTAAAAAAATTATAATATTCTAATAGTTTGAATACTCATACTAAATTCTTGATTAAAAAGAACCCAAGGACCTCAAGTAAGTAGATTTTTTTTCTTTTGGCATTTGACTTTTAGGGTAGGTAAATGTGCCATAATGCTGCCAATGCCTAGTCTACCCCCTAGGCTCCTGAACCAAGAAGAGTTAAAATGAGATGCATTGTCCTCAGATTCCCTCTCCCTTGCCATACTTTTTCCATCCCACCCTCACCTTCTAACAAAACAAGTTCTTCCTGAGGGCTTCACCACCAATCACTACCAGGAGTCAGAGATGGCCACACACACAAAAAAATGTGGATATATAAACTCTTAACAAATCTTACAAAAGTCTTAGTCATAATCCTTTTGTATAATTCTTGGCTCTCTTCTACAGTAGAATACAAAAGTTCTCTTTGTCTCTAATTCTCTGCTCTAATCATTAAGGATTAAACTCATCAAATCTTTTCAGTAGGCTTAAAGCACATTTATAGATGCCAAGAAAATCCATTATGATGTTTACTGGTTGCAAGTTATGAACTGGGAACCCTCAGACTGCTTTTATACAGGAAGTCTCCCCTTTGGCACTTACCTACCTTAAGACACTTAAAGTCTTGAATTGTTAAATATTTTCTTGTTAAAGTAGAAAGCCATAATAAGATATCTTTTTACTTTTTTTACAATAGAGTTTGAAAATAAAAAACTTGCCATAAAATTAATATAAATTAAACTGAAACCAGATACCCCCAAGTCTCCTGATTAAGAGTTCAATGGAATAATAATTATTTTATGCCTCATCATTTAATTTTGTGTGCTTATCATTTTCAAGCTTTAAAATAACATAAAAGTTTTATACTGTCACAAGTTCAAAATGACAGTTTGTACAACATTACTCATTGCAACATTGTCTGTAATAAAAGACTGAAAACAGTCTATAGGAGAATAGTTACGTATGTAATAATATATACACAAAATGGAATCTATACATCCATAAAAACACTAAAAATCTATTTCCAAGGTATATTAAGTTTAAAAAGCAAGGTGCTTTTTAAAGTACAGTATAGTATAGCATATTTCCACTTGCGTATAGTATACTATCCTATTGTGAAAAAAAGAATATATTTATACCTAAATATAAGTATTTGCTTATATGTGCATAAAATATCTCTGGAATAACAGACAAGAAACTGATGGCTGAACAACTCTGTGAACATACTAAATATCACCAACTATACACTTTAATGGGTAAATTGTATGGTAAGTGAACTAACTATATCTCAATAAAGCTGTTGCAAAGTAAGTAAATAAAAATAGATTCCATTACCCAAAAAAAGATAGCCCTCAGAAGATAGCATCCATTTTATAATTTTGAATTTTGAGCTCTGAAATGATCATGATATGTAGATATACATTAATGGTATGGATGTTATACAATACTATACATGTTTCCTTCCATCCTCAGCTGAATGCCTGACCTTTGCAAATTGGATATCTATCAATTAGGGTCTTACAAAGTTACCTCTAAAATCACAGGAGTTCTTCCTGTAAAGTTGATCTAGTTTATAGGTGGAGAGAAGGTAAGGGAAAATTTGGCAGTCCTTTTCTCATGTTAAATAAATAAATGTACATATTTGTACAACATTCTGAAACTCTCAATCTATTTCCCCTTTCTTGCCCTGAAAGAGTTTACCTTGTGGGGGAGGGAGAATGCAAAAAAAATCAATACCTGTGCCTAGAAGCTGAGGGGTGGCTACATGACTTCCGAGTACTGTCACCAGCTCTTCTGTCCCACAGTCCTAAACTGTATGTTTTCTCTGTTTTGCCTCTAATATGTTTTTAAAATCTTTGAAAACTTTAGGAGTTTTCAAAGAGCATTTTCCTAAGAGGGCTCTCCACCTTATAATTTCCTCCTTTCCTCCTACTACCAAGTTTCAAAGACAGATTTCAAATAGTGTGGCCAAAAATAGGTCATGAGGATTTTGGTAAGAGCTTCATTGTTTAACCTGCTAATATTTTTCTCTCACATTGAGGATTTGATTTTTTTTAAAAACCTGATAAAGACACTCAATAAAGTACTTAAAAACAACCATTAAATAATGCATTAAAAATAAAACCTCTTCTTTTTCAGGATAAACTCAAAGCTGGCAATGCCCTAGCATTTTTGGGTCTGGAGAGAAAACTATTTGAATGACTGACTTTACTACAATCTTTCAAGAAGATGCTTTTTAAAAAAATATGTATCACGCATGCACGTGAAAATCCTATTTTTAACTATTTTACCCAGAAATAGAATATCCCTGAGTATCCTAAATTATTCATAACAAAAATGACTCATGTTTTCTCACATGCAAACCAAAAATGATTTTCTGAGCACCTTAAAAATTAATGACAGAGCAAAACACAAAATGTCATTAATGCTTTTCATGGAGAAAGACCAAAACCAGATTCATCCTAGATGGTTCAAGTTGGTTCCTACTCTGAGCAAATATATGTGCCAGAGCCCAAATAACACATTGTTACTCACTTTAAACACCTTTCAGTGGCCCAGAACTGCGCTGGGAATACTTTAGATTTCACAAGTAAATGTACATAGTTCATAACCTGTAGGAGCTTATAGTCCAAATAAGGAGGCAAGTCATAAGTTCATGCAATAATCACTAAGCAATGCAACATGAGTGTCACAGAAGTTTTAGTAAAGTTCATCTGGACTCAAACTTTTGGGAAAATCTTCACAAAAGTTGGAACTTGGGCTGAGTCTAGAAGGATGAATAAGGCTTAAGTTGGAGATGGTAAACAGACAGGAAGACAAAACTATGGGAAAACAGGTTTGACACTGAATGAGAGTTCATCTACTCTGGAGAAAAGTTACAGTCTATAATTTACTTTTACCAGGAGCTATTTTAATTTAAACTACTGAGCAGAATATGTAAAGGTAGCGGTGGAAATTGAGAGCAGGGAAACACCAGGGTAGCCTCACTTCATTGACATGCTGCTGAAAATAAACTCAGTTCCGAGAGGGGTGATGAGTATCTTCACCCACCCCTGTGGTTTGCATACTTCTGGACTCCAAAATCAAATATAATTCTTCAAAATTACTTTCTTGCTTTGATTAATTAATACTTTTTTCCCTCCAACTTTCCCAGAAAACTCATGAGTTGAGTATTGGCATATAATTTATGCTAATATAATTTTTTCTAAATTACGTCCATCCCATTATTTTCACTTTATTCCGTTCATTATTCCATCTCTTTCTTACTCTTTCTATTGCTTTCCAGAACTTTACCCACTCACTAGTCTGTTATTACTCCAATCTGCCTACAGGAAAACAAGGTTGAACAAAACAGCAATATAAAGTATATGCTATTTTTTCCTTCCCCATTATTTGAGAAAAATGTCCATTCCTTCTCAAATATTCTATATTTGACCACTTTTTAACATAGTGTTTAATAACTTTTATTATGAAAAGGAATCTGATTACTTTAATCAATATCATAGATAGATGACAGATCGAGAGATAGATAATGGGTATACTCATATTCGCAGAGTATATGAATGGGTATATTCACAGAATATATATGTGATGTGCCAGAGGTATAGCACTGTTCTAGGCACTTGGGATACAGAGGTAAATAAAAAGGATAAAAGTCCTTCTTTGATGAAATTTATAGTCTCAAAAGTAAGAAACATAAATACAGGAGAGAAAGGAAAAAGAAACAAGGAATGGAGAGGAGGGAAGGAAGGAAATTTGTCTTATACTGAGAAATTAAAACAGGGAAATGTATACAGAGTAACTTAGGGGAGGATGTGGAATAAGACATTAAACTGTGAGACCAGAGAAAGTCTCTTTAAAGACTTTAACCTAAGACTTGAATGATAGAATAGTAATAGTTAAAAAGCCCCTCTTTACACCCATATTAAAAAGGAATTTACTCATCTTTTCTTGTATGGCCAGCACAGTTTCATTGTCTTATAGTTAAATCTTTGATCTAATCAGTGTTGGAGTTATCCTTATGTATGATGTGAGAAATCCAGCTAATTTCATTGCAGGACTATGTTTTGCAAAATATTGAAAATTATATACATTGTCCAAATGTAGGAGACTAAACAAACTATAGTACACATACACGCACACATATACGCACATATGTACAGATGCCTGTAAGTAAACCTTGATTTCTTTCTTTCCTGGCCTTCCTCTTCCTTACATTCAGTCCATCATCAAATGCTATTGGTTGCATATAAGACATCTCACATCCCCATTCTAATTCTACTACTCTTGCCCAAGTCACCATGATTTCTTGCCTAGTCTCCTTAATACTAATCTTGACCCCTTACATAATTCTCTACAGAACTGCTGATATGTTTTTCCTTTATTTTTTTATAATTTTATTTATTTTTAGGGAGAAGGGAAGGGAGGGAGAAATAGAGGGAGAGTAACATCGATGTGAGAAACATTGATTGGCTCCCTCTCATACATGCTCTGACCAAGGGACAAACCCACAACCCAGGCATGTGCCCTGACCAAAATGGAACTGGCAACCTTTTGCTTTGTGGAATGAAGCCCAACTAATGGAGCCACACCAGTCAGGGCTGGTTTTACCTTTAGAAAAAAGAAAACTATAACTCAGCCCTGGTTGGTGTAGCTTAGTGGATTGAGCAGCAGACTGCAAACCAAAGGGTTGCTGGTTCAATTACCAGTCAGGGCACATGCCTGAGTTGCAGGCCAGGTCCCCAGTAGGAAGCACATGAGAAGCAACCACACACTGATGTTTCTCTCCCTCTCTGTCTCCCTGCCTTCCCCTCTCTCTATAAATAAATAAAATCATTTAAAAAACATAACTGAGGGCATATTACAAACTTATTTTAAAAAGTCCAATGGCTTCCTATGAGAGTTATAAAAATCTAAAATCTTGACCATGGGCTACTTATCTGGCCAAGTTTATGTCATCATCTCCTACCTCTTTCTCCCTTGAGCACAAACTCTGCTACAAGTTCTTTCCTGTGTAAAATCAGTAAAGGAACATCAGCTTTAAACAATACATGAAACCAATTGGACTTAAGAGACATATACAGAACATTTGGATCCAAAAACAACAGGAATACACATTGTTCTCAAGTGCACATGGAATGCTCTCTAGAAAAGGTCAAATGTTAGGCCACAAAACAAATCTTAGTAAATTCAATAAGATTTAAATCAGATCAAGTCATCTTTTTCAAACAAAATACTATGAAACTAGAAATCAATTACAAGAACAAAATTGGAAAATTCACATATATGTGGAGATTAAGCATACTACTGAACAACCAATAGGTCAAAGAAGAAAAAAATAAAAATTAAAAAAAGACAGTCACACCTCAGTACTTGTTTGCTTCAGAACTTGTCAAACCCTGTACTCATCATATTTTGACAGGAAAAAACTGTTTCAGCACTCAGCTGAAACAGTCCAGCACTTGCTGGGGACTGATTGCACTCTCTAGAACTTGTATGAGTCATGACACTGCCCCACAAGAGAAAATGCTTCATTCTTTAGTACTCTTCAGATTTGGCACTCGTCATGAGTTCTGGAATGAGTTAACATCAAGTACCAAGGGATCACTGTACTCTGAGACAAAGGAAAATGGGAATACAACATACTAAAACTTATGGAGTACAGCAAAAGCAGTTCTAAGAAGGCAGTTCATACTGATAAATGCCTACATTAATAAACAAGAAAAATCTCAAACAATCTAACTTTACACATCAAGGAATCAGAAAAAGAACAAATGAAGCCCAAAGTTAATAGAAGGAATGAAATAACAAAGATAAGAGCAGAAATAAATGAAATAGAGATTTAGCCCTGGCTGGTGGAGCTCAGTGGATTGAGTGCAGGCTACAAACCAAAGGGTTGCGGGTTTGATTCCCAGTCAGGGCACATGCCTGGGTTGTGGACCAGGTCCCCAGTGGGGGCCATGTGAGAGGCAACCACACACTGATTATTTCTTTCTCTTTTTCTTCCTCCCTTCCCTTTCTAAAAATAAATAAATAAAACCTTTAAAAATTAAATAGAGATTTAAAAGATAATAGAAAACAGCTGGGTACTAGACTGATCACTTTGTAAATCATATAAATTATATTGTATGCTAACTATTATCAAAAAATAAAAATTTGTTTTAAAAAAGACAATAGAAAATAATCTCCAGATTCTGGAGATTATTATGCTAAGTGAAATTAGCCAGCCAAAGAAAGACAAATGTCACATGATCTTACTTATATGTGGAATCTAATGAACAAAATAAACTGATAAACAAAATGGAAACCGGGACATGGATACATGGAACAGGCTGACAGCTATCAGAGGGGAGGTCGATGGGGAAGACTGCATGAAAGAAAGTGAAGCAATGAGCCAAAGAACATATATGCATAACCCAAAGACACAGACAACAGTGTGGTAATGGCCAGAGGGAAGGGGGCAGGGCTGGGTGGGAGTGTACAAAGGAGGGGGAGATGGAAACATCTGTAACAGCATCAACAATTTTAAAAAGACAATAAAAAATATCAATGAAACTAACTCTGACTTTTCTGTGCATATAATTCTGAGGACATTTATCCTCTGAGATTTAATTAAACTTACCCATACTTTAGACATATTTACTTATGCAGTTGAGTAGATTTATTACCATTTACCATGATGAAGAACACTATGTGATAAACAGGATTCTCATCCCAACAGGGAGGGATGAGAATTGACAGTTCCATTGTGGGACTTCTTATATTTCAGATGCTTCTTGGACATTTAAGTAGCAATGTCTAGTAAGCAGTTGGGTCTACAAGTCAGCCTGGGGAGTTAAGGAGAGAGGCTAGAGACAGGTCATCAGTGTATAGAAAGTATTTAAGGAAATAAGACTGGGTGAAATCATCTGGGAAAAAAATAAAGGAGAGAACCAAAAGAACCCAGGACTAATTCCTGGGATTTGCCAAAACTTGGAGATCAGATGGAGGAGCCAGTATTGGGCACTGAGTAGTAGCCAGTGAAATAGGAGGAAAACAAACAAACAAACAAAAATGTGGTATTCTGAAGTCAAGGGGAGATAATGTTTCAAGAAGTCTTCACAGGCTTTAGGCATAAAAAAAAATCAAAGCTATAAGACTATGGTACTTTACAGAATCATATGCCCAAATGTAACTCAATCTCTTTATCCCCAAAGTAAATTCCACTTCCCAAAATACAAACTCTCAGTAATGGCATCACCCGTCACCTAAATCCTTTCCTTCATCCATATCAAATCTGTCAACAACCCAGTAAATTCTACCACTTTTATATCTTTCTTATCTTTCTTCCTTATGGCTTCTAAATAAAGTCAGGTCCTCATTGCTCACCAAGAGTATAGAAATAATCTCTTAGACTTCCAGCCAA